ATGATTCTTAAGTAAGACTTTGAGCGAGGCACTGGGAAATGGCGGCGCTTCGCTGCTGACGCCGCCAGTGTTGGCACTTTTGGATTGTGGATTTGGATTTGGATGAGGAGGTTGTAGCGCAGAGGCGGTACTGGTTGCCGATAACAAGGTTTCCGTTGTGGCGATGGCTGATGAGAGGTACAACTCCGCTTGGGCGTCATTGCCGTGGGAGAGCAGCCAGATGGCGGATTCTAGGTGGATTGTGGCTTCTTGGAGGAGCTTTTGGGGATGTCGATGTTGTTGTTCTTCTTCTTGTTCCGATGGTGGCAGGTGATGATGGTTTGTTGCGTAAGGCGAGAAGACTCCTGAAGGAACTACAACTGGTCTCCTAGCGTTGGTGGCCATTGGTGATGGTGATAACGAAGGAAACGGAATGTGACGACCCAGTATAGGTCTCCCGTCTATCGTCTCTCTGAGAAGCAAGAACGACTCAAAAGGTACCTGGGATACACCCAAGTCTCTGATCGTCTGCTCCAGAACCGTTTTCAGAAACCGCTCGGCGGATTCTTTGAAGTCTTGGGTGGTGCTGTCCAACATGAGCCGCCTCGATGCGGATGCCGGGGCAGATGCCGAGGCAGATGCCGATGCGTCTGAGTGGTGGTGATGGTGGTGATGGCTCAGCTGACTGCTGCTACTGCTGCCGCTGCTGCTATTGTTCACGTTCACGTTTGGTGGGTGAGACAGGAGGTAGTAATCGGCATCATGACCGGCAGCTGACACAAAACCCTCCTGTTGTTCGGCAGCAGCGGTGGCTCGACTACCACTAAGTTGAACACCACCACCATTGACGACACCATTGCAGCTAAACGACGGACGGCGTCGGTCGTAAGCTCCCCCAATCTCTCCGGGTCCGGGATGACCGTCACAAAATCCACCTGGCAATATTGGCGGAGGGTGCGGTGCCGAGCAAGTATTATGCGTCTCCTCGAGAAGTACCCTAGCAATGGAGACCAGTGGATACGCTACGGGCAGTTGTGCTACTTCCGTGCATAACCCGAAGGTATGGATGAAGTTGATAAAATAATAGAACTTGGCCCCTATCACGCTCTGGACCACGGGCTCGAGCATAGCGAAGGATCTGTTGATCGTGCGAAAACGACGGACGGTATCTCGGGCGGCCATGCTGGTGCTAGGACTGCCGGAATCGGAGGACAGCTGCACGAGAATGTCCCGGTAGAAGGCGGCTTTGTAGCGGATCGTCATCAGCCATTCTAAGGCGTGCGAGTACCCGAGCCAGTATTGTGTTGTGCCCCACGTCTTGTCGTTGTCTTCGTAGAGGAGAGTCTCGTGGATGCGAGTCAGAAACTTTTGGAAGGAGTGGATGGTGACGGAGTGTCCGAGGGAGGGCAGAGTTGTGGAGTGATGACCTAGGTTGACTGGCGGTGGCCGAAGGGGTTGTGCGGGAGAATAAGGCTGGGTATATCCGGGATACGGTGTTGAGCTGTTAGTTTGAGGATCAATTCCGGCCACGATGGAGGTTGATGAAGCCGTCATCGGTCTTGTGAATGGCGGCGCATTGTGCGTGTAGTGATCCGAACCGGCTGATGACGATAATGACGGAGTGCTGGCTGATGGCTCGTGGTGGTAATTTTGATGATGTTCTGACATGGGAGACGGAGTCCGACAGGTTATCTCCCTTGCTACGGTCGGACTGTGGGACCGGTCGGCCTCGAGCAACCGGGCAATGTCCAGCCCTTTCCGTTTGACGTAGCTATTGACTCGGTCCCAGTCAATTTCGCGGCCGCGTATCCTGTAGGTTGTTGGCTTCCCGAGCTTCTCCCTCTCCCGTCTCAACCGAAAGAGCTCAACAACTTCGGACTCCTTGAAGTTCTTATCCAGTCCCCAGGCTTTAATTCGCGTCTTGTACATCCGTTGTCTGTGTGATGAGTCAGCCCACATAATCCATACAAGCTTTGAATTGAGCGCGGAAGCTGATATGTTCTCTTACGTCGCCCGAAATTCATGACGCTCTTCCATAATCCTCATCACCTCCTTCAACGACAGATTCTGACCCTGGTACAGCTCCTGGATTCTCCCTCGATGCTCCTCCCATTCGTCACCTCCTGCCCATCCTGGCGGATGCTGTTGCTGAGCGTGTCTCACGCCTTCCATGGCCTCCGCGGCATATTATTTCCCTGTTTCCTTGACGAACGCGGAAGTTGAGTCCTTCGTCTGAAAGACCTGCTGGCCGTTTATTCGCAAAATTTCGAAAGTATGACCGCAAAATACATCAACGGTAGACGGTCCAGTACAGCCGATGTTTGAGTTGTGGGTTGACCTCGATTGAACCCAGGAAATGTGGTTGTTGGTTGAACGACAACGAGCTTGCCATCAGTTGTTCCGAGCAAATACCGTGGTGTCAGGTGAACGAACACAACACTTGGATCCCGCTTCCCATCCGCCTGCACAAGCGATGTGGGAAACCCAGTGGTACCTGTCCTCGCTCCCCATGAGGACGCTATCAGATGTTCACAGATGACTAATTCAATGTGTGGAACTTTTGAAGCAAGGGAAAGAGAGAAGGCCCCTTATGTCAATGACACGTGGTACTGGGCCGCAGTATGGGAACTGGAGCGTAAGGGCCATGTTGTTGAAAAGGTGCCGCAGTGTATACCTGCCATGGAATGCTGGGAGGAGGTTCAACGGAATATGCTTGAGAATCAATCTTAACGGTCAGTGGAATGCTATTTGCTGAGTTGGGCGGGGAGATCACGAAAGGGGAAGTATCTAACCACGGCAAAAGGGCACGGCATTGGTCCAAGCCAGGCCGGGTTACACGTTGGACAAGCTCCATATCAGAAGTCCCTCGCATCAGCCCGCGCCGTCATCAACGAGACCTTTTTCTTAAAAAGGTATTGTGGAGCCGCCATGACTTTGGTATACAGAAGGACCGTACTGTTCGTTGATCCCCGAGATTGCCGCCGTGGGTCGAACCGGCGTTTGCGATGAATGACCTTTGGTGTGTCTCTTAAAGGACCGGCATCGGCGCACCCTCAATTTCCGTATGCTAACAGGTCGAACTATGGTTTGGAATCATGTTCGTCTTTGTCGCATTATGGTTATCCACTTATACGGTCATGCGTGGTATTCGCTTGGTGTAATTGTCAGAAGATGTATCAGAAGTGGTAGTCTGGATAAAGTTGCTTACCATGCATGTAATGGTACGGGGATTGCCAAGGTAGATTTGACAGAATCGGAACCATGGCCCCCTGAGATGACATACGTTCGACTAAAGCTAGCGGATGCGTGATAGCAAGGCGTCTCGCATGAGCTTTCTGTCCCGTGGGAAGATCCAGAGTTGCTAGCGACCTACCGAGATCGCTGTTATGGAGAATGCTAGAGGACAGTATAAGGGGAGTATTCAGAACGGATAACCAAAAAGAGGCTGCCGTTGCGAGTAGAATATGACAGTACCGACTGATCCATGTGAACATTGGTATCAAAGGGAGTATATGATAAGCCATGCACGACCGCTCAATCCAAGATAAAAATAATAAAAAACCGAAACACAGATCTTCGCTTATTCAAGACCTCCAGACAAAGACAAGTGCAACACGTTACTAGAAGATAGCTTTGTGTTGGTGTGGGAGCTCATGCAACCGAAAGCCTTGCGAATCGTTGAGCCCACTATTCCACGTCGTCAACGCCATGTCCATGATGCGCCAAAAATTCCGGCGGTACATCGTTCCCAATCTCTGTCGTCTTGCTAGATTCAAGACCTTGTCGCGAAGCTCGGAGATCCACTCCTCCTCCTGGTTGAGAATCATCGTTATCGACATCGGCATCGACACTCGAGACCAGCAGGTCTGGAGGCACCTCATTATCGTCACTCTCGTCATGACCCGTTTGCTTCTCTTCATGCTCAAGTGATCCATCCTCCTCCAGGTCCACCAAATCCAGATGATTAGGGCCATAGGTATGAGCGTCAATGTCGTCGTTACCATCATGGCTGGTGTAGCCAACACCATGGTGTTCAGTGGCTGTTGGTCGATTACTGTGACTGGTGGACCAGGCTCCCGTAGAATCCTGCAGAACAGTCGCCGCGGACCTCCCTAATCGTGGAGTACTCCCGCCACTCCCTTGGTATCCCTTCTCATCTTCGACTTCGTACCCCTGCTCCATCAATATGCCTTGGATCATCTCTTTGCCTTGCTTAAAGGCCTCAAACTCGGCACCGATGGCACAAAGCAGCAACTTCCACCCGTGTTCATCCGCAATATTGAACTTTTCTTCGAGATCACCCATGACTTTCGTGATTTTGTCGAGCTGTGACGAATAGAACCTGAGTGGGCTTGGAGCTTGATCCTCGGCAACGACCTTTCCCTTGCCCTTGCCGGTGTCATGGTTGAAGCCTCCAGACTCAGCACGGCTGGCCTTTGCAATCTCTTGGCGCAAATCCTCCTCGTACGCCGTTACCAGCCTGACAACCTCCCTCCAGACCTCGGCACCCTCCTCTAGTGCCGAGCGCTCCTTGTTCACGTCCTCTTTGCGCCGCTCTAGAAGGGCAATCTCACTTTCCCACCAATCCTTTGCCATGTCGGCTGTCCGTCGCTCCGGTCGTAGGCGCATGAACTCCAGACCTACCAGGGCCTGCTGTTCCACCTCTTGATTGCCTTCATTCTGACTCGGCCCTACCACAGCCTCGACATCCAAGGGGAGAACCCTTGGTTTGATCAAGACATCCTCCAGTTTGTCATCCACCTCTCTCAGGGCCCCTTTGTACCCACTAAGGCCGGCCTCGCGACGATTCCTTACGTCTAGCCTCCGCCCATCAAGCCAGTGTTTTCGCTTCCGCAAGCCCACCAACCGCTCTTCCAGCTCGGCTATTTCCGCACGCACATTTGCATACTCCTCGTCAAGTTCGCGCAATTCCCGGGCCAGCGGCTCCTCGTCGTCGCCCTCCAAAGTGCGCAGTTCCTCCACAATCGCATCTCGCTGTGTTGAAAGCTTGCGCAGCTCCGAGAGCGCTTTCTTACGGACAAATAGCGCAGAGTCGAGGTTCGCTTCCTCTTCGATCTTAAGGTCGGCAGCGAGGGCCATGGTTCTTGCTAAAGCGGCTCTGGCCCCGCGCAAGTTAGGGGTTTCTGACGTGGTTGGCGAACCGGAATGATCTCTCCGGTTTCTGTTGTTCGAGTGGGCAGCTCAAAGACGACATGTGAACGACGAGCAGTTGATGCACTTCCGGCATCACTGACGTTCGAGCTTGACGGTGGGGCAGCATCTGGGTTGAGGTTCGCCATCAGCCCCGTGGCCTGGGCGTCGAGTATGTGTTGGAATTCCTTCTGAATCAACCGTTCGCGGTGTTGTAGGTTGCGCCAGAACGTGTCTTGTTCGAAGCGGACGTCATCTCGACCTCGGGCTGTAGAGCCCCCCTTGTCAAATAAGACGCCGTTGATACTTTGGCGATGGAAGACACCCCGAACTCGAGCGGTGACGTTGGCGAGGAGGAAGAGTATCGATCCCTGTCATCTCGCTGCAAGACTTGGGTCGAGAATATGGGCGGTGGCGGCCCAGCGAACATAACTCCACGAGGTTTCTTGTTCTTAGATGTCGACCTAGTCGTGCTTGCCTTGTCACTGAATGCTGAAGATTGGGATGGCGACGGCGAAGTCCCTCGTCGGAAGGCTGGTTGACTGTGGTTCTGCGGCGCACGGTGGCTTAAAAAGGGGTCGTCAGGGCGAGGGGAGAGATCGTCCAAGTCGTAGTCGCTAGACTTCTTCCGCGTGGAGCGGCTTGCTTGGTTTGACCACATATTGTATTCGTCTCGGGAGTGGGACAGTCGCGAGAGGGAGCGGTTTTTGAATGGCATTAAAACTAGTCGTGTCCATTCGCAAGGAGGTCACTGCAGGCATAAAGATATCATCAGCAACGGATACGTGGAAGCGGTACTGCGCACATAGAGGTGGTTTGATATGTTTGTACCGATAAGGCATTACATTCCAGACCTTTACTATTATACGAGGGAAAGTCAGGCTCACATCGAAGAGTGAAGCAAGTGAAGCGTGTCGCAGAGTTGAGGAGCAGCCAGCAATGCACAACTCGGACATACGCAAACCGAAGAAGATAGCAACAAACAAACAAAGTCGGTGGGACTCGAATCCAGAAGTGCAAGTATGAGCAGCAAAGTCCCCAAAGAAGTTGTAAGATGAAAGACCAGTAAAAGTCTGGATGATAAGGCTAATGACGGCGAGGATGGTCGGATGCTTCTTTGAATCTGATGATGGAATGATAAGAAGCTCAGATGACAGTTCAAAGTCCAGTATCAGGCAGGCACCACGAGGGAAGTCTGTCACTGCAGTTCCCGTCGGGAACTGTCTGTATACGACCGGGAGCAGCAGGAGCAGGTGGCATGTGCCCACCTAAGGTACGTATTAGCCCCTTGCTGGCAGTGACGCCATTGGCTCCATTGGAGCTCACTAGAGGATCCACTTCTCTGAGCTTCCCCCCTGCGCGGTCTCACACAACATCGGATTGTAAAGAACTAGAGCATCACAATGTGACCAACTCGCCCTTGTCTCTTTGTGTTAAAGATAGCGCCAGGGTTTCCATCTCCATCCATTCATCGCTGTCCCCTAGCATTCTTATTAGCTGGTCTGAAAACACCATGACCCAGACCTTATCCTAGAATTCTCAGCGAGATCATGTCTTCAGTCAGGCAGAACTTTTTTGGCCGAGAACAACTTCCATCGAAAACACACCCCCAGCTCTCTATCAAAGGCATAGAAAGACAATGAGATCGTCCAAAGCCTACATAGCATGACTATGCACTTGATATGTTACCTATCACAAGTGTATTGTTTATGTTGTTGAGATGTCTCGACTCCTATGATGATGGGATACAACCTCACTGCCATCGTAGACCTATATATATAATGGCTTGTTTTCCCCCTTCCTCAGTATGCTTGCCGTCCTTAGCAACCATTATCATCAACAAAAGCATACGTTCCCCCGTTCAAGACTTAACAGCCAAACCCATCAACTTTACTTCACCAACCATGCCTCCAAAACGCAAACAAAACCCTCGCACCGCTGACAAGCCTGGACCAGGAAGACCCAAAAAGACCAAAACCGCCACCACTAACGATGGCGGCCTTCATGTCCCCAGCCAAGCCATGAAAAGCACCTTCAGCAAGCCACCAGCCCCAACCCACCCCTTCGCCCCCAACGAACTCCTCAAGAGCCTCCTTCCCCGCTCCGGCTTCGACTACTCCATGTTCCACCTCGTCCACCCAGAGGGCATCAACCACGAGAACTACCTCGCCATGGACCCCGAGCATGCCGACTGGCTGATCACCGCTCTCTTCAAAAATAGCGGCGTGAACCCCTATGCCTACGGCTACGATTATCAAAACCAGGTTGGTACGCGTAGCCACTTGCACCTCGTCGTCGAAACTGGTCTGACGACCCTCTTCAATGCGCTCCACGACGTTGTCAGTGAGTTGGATCTCACCGAGTGTAAGCTTGTCGGTAATGACACCGACAAGGCCGGTGCCGGATACCTTTCCCCCTTTTGGGAGCAGGTAGTTGCTGATACCAAGTACTCGGGGGCTTGGTTTCATGTTGGCGGCTCTCATCGGCAGCAGGTAGGACACCAGGCGCAGGACAAGCCCGTCGTTCTTGGGGGTCAGAAGTGGAAAGTGCCGATAAGTTGGACAGGGTACCTTCGCACCAAGCCGCCCATGACTCGAGCCCGAGGCCGTGAAGCCACGGTCCCGTATCTCTGCTCCATATCTCGCCCCAATCCCGAACAGATGTACTGCATACCCTCTCCCGAACAAGTGCACTACTTCCCGTCCGGGGCTCCTCCGGGTCCCGGATACAAGCCCCTCATCACCATGAGCAACACACCCGACCCCTGCTCCCCGTCCACCAGTGAAGGTCTCCATAAAGCTTTTCTAGCCTTACACTCTCTCATGGCGCTCATACTCGACGCGCGCGAGTACGTCATCGAGCGTCCTGGCCGCTTTCCCTCCCGTAACCTTCCGTCCAATGACCCGCTTATCTTGGCTATTGACCATTTTCGGGACTACCTTGAAGCTGCCTTTGATCCCTCGGACGAGCCCGTTCAGGGGGCCTTTTATTCCTACCATGCCACCTTGTTCCGCTTGGAGCTTCCCGTCGCGGCCGGACTGTTTGGAGGTAACGGGACAACGATTTGTCAGTTAAAACCGGTTCATGTCTCGAGAGACACGGGGGAAGATTGTGGATGAATCGGTCATGGCGGCCAGTGTAAGCTCAGCAGGGTCGTCGGACGTGGAGGAGGACGAGGACGACGAGGACGACGAGGATGAAAGGTTGTCAGATACAGAATCCGATTACGCTTGTAGTAGTTATGCTGGGTCTGTATCAGCCAAGAAATTTTGGAGATGACCATGAAGGCGCAGCGTAGGAATGGGAAGAGTGATAACCGATTGGCTGCTATCTTTTGTGTTGACCGACAAGTGTCCAGAAATCTTAGCTCGAAGTAGAGGTGTTTTAGTACGATAAATCGAATGCTTTGGATAAATCCTGTGACCCTGTGATATGTCAACACGTAGAACCACGAAAGAAAAGCATGAAACAAGGGATAAGGACGCAAAAAAGTGATCATGCATAGGTAATCTATTGAATGGACCTAGAAATGTGTCCACCTGAAAAGCAATTTCTCCGCAAAACCCAACACCAATAGCCTTTACCGAGGCCTTGTAACCATCATAATCATGACACGAAAATAACCAGTGATTAAGCCGACTCGTCTAATCTTCAAACTTTTCCCCCCTTTTCACTTGCCTACATTTAAGGCTGGCCAAGACCGAGGTGGTTGACATCGGCCTTAACGATACGGAAGGTGTTGGTGTTACCCATACCACCCTTCCAGCCCTGAACAACGACAACGGTCTCACCCTCCTGGAGAATGTTGAGGGCAATGGCGTGGCTGAGACCCCACTTGATGCGACGATCAACATCCTCCTGCCAGTTGACCTTGCTAAAGTCGGGCTTGGACTCGGGGAAAAGGAAGGGGTAAACACCACGGTAAAGATGGGCGAACCTCGAAGCGGAATCGTTCCTGGTGATCATGATAATGGGAGCCACAGGGCGGTACTTGGAGATGAGACGAGCAGACTCGCCGGAGGTGGAGAGAACGAGGATGGCAGCGGCGTTAAGGTCGAGAGAGGCGCGGACAGAGGCCATGGCACAAGACTCGACAATGGAGACGGGGCGCTTGGCCAAGCTGCAAAGCTCCTCGAAATGGCTGACGTAGGGGATGGTGTTCTCGGCCTTGAGGACGGCCTCGCTCATCTCACGGACGGCCTCGTTGGGGTAAGCACCCTTGGCGGTCTCACCAGAAAGCATGACGCAGTCAGCACCATCGGTAACAGCGTTACCAACATCGCTGATCTCAGCGCGGGTGGGCCTGGGGTTCTTGATCATGGACTCGAGCATCTGGGTAGCGCAGATGACGGGCTTGCCGGCAATGTTGCACATGGCAATGATCTTCTTCTGAGCAGCGAACACCTCGGCGGCGGGGATCTCGATACCCAAGTCACCACGGGCAACCATGACACCGTCGGTCTCGGCGAGAATCTCAGCGAAGTTGTTGAGACCCTGCCTGTTCTCGATCTTGGCGATGATCTGGATGTGCTTGCCCTCCTCGCCAAGAACATCACGGATGTCCTTGATGTCCTGGCCGCGACGGATAAAGGCTATTATCAGCTGTTAGTAACTCATTCCAAATGTCGCGGATTTTCCTAGGGTAGACTCACAAGCAAAGACCATGTCGACGTTGTTCTTGACACCGAACTTGAGATCGGCCTTATCCTTCTCGGAAAGAGCAGGGAGATCGACGTCGGTGTTGGGAAGGTTGACACCCTTGCGGGAGGAGATGAAGCCGTTGTTGCGAGCCTTGACCTTGATGGTCTTGTCATCGACAATCTCGAGAACCTCGAAAGCGAGGACACCATCGTCGACGTAGATGATACGGCCGGGAGCAATGACCTTGGTGATGTTCACATAGTCGACGTACCTGCAATGATGTCAGCGGTGATCGGCCTCACAGGCTGATCAATTGGAACTTACATGTTCTCAGTAGAGCACGCGGTCTTGTACTGCTCATCGGTGGTGATGTTCAGGATGGTACCGGCGGAGATGGGGAGATCCTCATCGTTCGTGGTGTTGCCGGTACGGATCTCAGGACCCTTGGTGTCGAGGGCAATGGCAATAGGACGGCCAGCCTGGATCTTCTCGGCCTGGCGAGCATTGTCAATGACGGACTCTGTAGATGGCCCAGTGTTAGCGGATAAGCTGTGCAAGAGGAGGACTTCTGCGAAATGAGGCGCTAATGGTCTCGGAAAGCTAAGCGCGCAGAAGCTTGGCAGACCTCATACCATCGGCGGATTTTCGAAAGGCGCCGCCAGACGTCACAGAGGAGAATACGTACGGTGATACTCGTAGCTGCCGTGAGAGAAGTTCATGCGAGCGACGTTGAGACCATGATCGCGGAGCTTGTTGATGGCCTCGACCGAGTTGGTCTTGGGGCCGATGGTGCAGATGATGGAAGTACGGCGGAACTTCGCGAGCGGGACTGAACTCAGTGTTGAGCTGAGAGAGCCACTCAATCTTGCCTCCAAGGCTGAGGTGGTCAAGCGCAGTAGCGGCCATAGTGACGGTTTATGTGTGGCGTTGAGAGACGATGTCGAGGTGTAGATTGGAGAAGCGCGCGGGGTTGACGCGAGCTTTGGGGTATAGGGAAATCTGCAGGATCGACAGCTTTAGCGTCAGTAAGCAAGATTCCAACATAGACAAGCGCAATGCGCAAAACTGACAATTGCAGGACAAAGAGTGCGCAGTGCTGATGCAGATGCGAGGGAGAATAGTGTTGAGGTGTTGGAGGGAGGAAGTTTTGTTGGATCTTTTAACGGTTTGATCCAAACAAGAAAGTTGGGGGGGGGGGTGCTGTTCTGTCCAGCTCAATTTTACCCCACGTCTCGCAGCCCGAGTCCAGACTTTTGAGAAGGGGAGCAAAACGATGATGACACAACATGGACCCCGTACGAAGGAGATCCGAACCCGAACGACCCGCCTCTCCACGGCTTTTTCGATGTGGCACTTCCACTTGTTTCAATTGGAGGGAATGGAAGCAATTGGGAAAAAAGCCGTCATTTCTGTCAAACATACCTAGGAAAACCGAAGCTGATGATTCAGTTGTTCAGATCTCGCGACAAACTCTGAAGTTGAAGCTTGGGATGAAGAAGGAAGGGGAAATTGTTGAGGAGGGGAAAAAGTTGGGGGGAGAGGGAGAGGAAGAGGAAGAGAGAGGACAGAAATCAGAAATCAACACCACGACCGGAGGGAAATGGACCTGGATTCTTTTTTTTTCTGCTTTCTCGTTTCGCCCAGGCTCGCAACCAATCTTTGACGGGCTGTTGCGCGATAAAAACTGATAAGAGAATCGCCTGGGACCACTAGCACACGTCCACGCCTGCACCACTGGTTCGCTTCCTTCCCCTCGTTTGGCTCATTTTGGTATCTCTCATCGACTCTTTCCCTTCTTCCCCCATGGCGGAAGCGGCAGTGCGGCCCTCGAAACGTCGACTGAAGGTTGGATCCCCTCTTTGCATCCGGTCGTGACACCCGTGTCGGCGTCTTTCGCGGAGGCAGCATTGGGAGCTCTGGAAGCTGCAACCTTGTCATTCCGCCATAGTTCCGCCGCCGCAGTGGAGGACATCCCACCAAAGCCCACTAAAACACCCTCCAAGCCGCCACTGGCCGGTCAGTGCCGCGCAGCTCATGCCTGCATGCTGCCCCTCGCCCCCACCCAAGCGTGCCAAAGGTCGCTGACCATGCCCCGCTTCACCTCGAAAAGGGAATGGTCAACCCAACCCTAAATTTGGCCGGACTGGCAGGGGGCACAGACCATTGCCCCGATCTTCGCTCCGTTGGGCTCCACCGGTGAATGGACCCTCTTGAAGACCGCCAAGAGAAGTCACGAGCATCCACACGTGATAGCGCCAAGATAATCCCTTGAGCCTGGACTCCCAGTCCCTGTCTCCTGACAATCCCTGGCCCGTGGTCTTCTTCTCTCTTTCCAGCCTTCCAGCCCCACTCCGCACGATCCTTATCCGCAGTGTCCCGGCGCCTAGGGATACCTCCAAGGCCGCTTTCCCGCCTCCCTATGATCGTCCCGTTACGTTGCCCACCGCTCGCCCGACGCATTGCTGCAGGCACTCGAATCCTCCCCCCACAGCACCTCCCGTCGAAACACCTTCCTGACCTGCAACACCGCTCCGCCCCGGGAATATCATCATCATCGTAACCACCACCACCATCGACATCGACCCGCCCCCGGACCCGACGACGGCGCCGAATCCCTGAACCGATTTGTCGCATCGCGTTTCCTCCTCTTCTCGATACTCTTTTTCTATCGCATCCAACAAGACCACTCCTCAAGATGGTGGTGGGTACCCCGAAGTTTCTTGCGTCGTTAGCGTTGCTGTTCTTCATCCTCCGTCCGAATGTACAGAGATCCCCGGCCCCTTCTCCGGATTTCCCGATCTTGTCATTAATCTCCATCGTCTTGCCCTCGAACTCGCCCGCTGCTACTGCTGCTGCTGCGTCGTCGCTTGCTGTTCAACGGAGTTCTAAGAATCTCTTCTCCCAGCTCCTCGATTTGCTGACACTAGGCTTATGGTCGAAGCTCGGACGTTTGAGCCACTATGCCTTTGACGCTGTCCTGCGTAAGTTCCAGTTTTCCGAAGGGTGATCGATCGCGGTCGGTTGTCTCTTGGCCTGTCTTCGGTTTCCGCTGACTCGATGTGTGTTGCGAATGACAGTTTCGGCATTCCTCGCTGGAATGAAGCGCTCGACCGGTCTGACGTGAGTTGCTTTCGATGCGCTCCTTACCCTGCGGACACCGCCCTTCCGAGGCCTCGCCCCCTATTTCGAACCCGAACCCGCCGATCCGTCCATGCCTCCCGATGGCACTTTCGAGCGAAAGACTGACGTTTGGTGATTATAGCTTCAAAACCGACAAGGTCGCTGGCGAGAACAAGGAAGTTGGAAAGTGGGTTGACAAGTATCTCGGCGTCGGCGAGTGGGTGATGGACCAGTCCGTTGCCATTGCTGGATCGAGCGGCTGGTTCGACAGGACCCGATAAATGGCAGATGGAACAAATACACTGCGAAACTTGGGTGCGTTTTGGTCGACAACGTCCTTCACAACCGAGGATTGCGAATCGAATTAAGTGTCCCTGTCGAAGAAGGCGAGCCGATCAGGAATCGGCTATGCTCGAGCTGGAGGAAGGGAGTGTGACGCCATAACAGGAGGATTGTCGTTTTCCACCACACGTATATACATCTTTTGGACAGAATGGCCAGTCGTTATATTTGTCGAAGAGAGGAAGCAGAGGACCCTTCGAGTCTGGCCAGTTTTGCCGGCTCAAGTGCTGATCGGTCTCCTCATATCCGGCAGTGGGTGCCAGTAACCAGGCTGGGTAGGGAGGGGGGTGGATCTTTGAAGATGGGCGTTCGGGAAGCGGTTCTGATGTTCCTGGGATGCATACCTTATTTCTTTTTTGTGTGTCTTCCGATAGGGTTTCTAAATCAGGAACAGCCGCACTTTGATTCCCAGGGACTTTCCCAAGGGTTCTTGCAGCAGCTTTCGTGGCCCAGAGTTTGCGCGTGTCCGTTGTCTCCGCAAGTTGTTGGCTGTAGGGCTCAAAGCTCAGTTCGTGATCCCGTGGTTTCCCGACCCTTGTTCCGGATGTTAGCCGAGGCTATTCGCAGGGATGCAGTTTTGGGGCTGTTGTCCAGCCAGCCAGCCAGTAAACAGGGGCGTAGCCCGCCAGCCACGCCAGTGTGAATGGAGCTCTCTCCACGATTCCAGGTTCAGGGCATCTGCATCACGAGTCACTGCCCTTGTTGATGGGTCACATCGGGAAGCTGATTTGATATTTTTGAGACACTCAAATCTTCATTGAGACCTTTTTAATCATTTACATACAGGTCTACCTATGGTATAAACATCATCACCAAAGCATCCGCCGAACCAAATATCCGACAAGCCGCTATGAACACTATGCTCAACTACTCACCTAGAGGTTTTTTGATCTCATACCTTGTCCGCAGCAACTCACCATATCGGATCAGCAAAAATGGCACCGGGATCAAGGCCACGGCGATGAACGCCAACAGACTGTTTCCCCATCCCAACCCAAGCGTGTCGTACATTCGCAAGCCGAAGATGGGAAGGACTGCTCCAAAGACACTTCTCGCCACCGTGTTGGCCGCCAGGGCAGACGCAGCGTAGATGGTGAACGTGTCAATCAGGGCCTATCACGATTAATCAGTCTCGTCCGTGGTCACCTACGAAAAACAGGCCAAGAGTACTTACCATGCTGATAGCCATAAAAATAACAATGTTGCCGAACCCGATGAGAGCGTGGCTCATAATCGGCACGATCCAGTGGACATGGTACTGGGCCGTCCAGCCATAGATGAAGAAACCGGCGGGCAGGAAAAATGGCACCGATGGGAAGAACCTTCAGCCGATCCTCGGGAGTACATTGCCCCTTGCCGTCTGGGCCGACTTTGGCCTTCATGATGCGGTTACTAGCGACGCTGAAGAAAACGAGGCCCAGGAGGGAACCGACGCCCATGCCGACGAAGACCAGGCCGACAATCTTGGTGCCTATTCAGTCACTCGGTATCAGCATTCTGGCGGAATATCAAGGGGTTCATGTCTGCCACATACCAAAGTTATAGGTATCCGGGTTAGTAAACACCCTCGAGATTGTGGTGAACATGAGGTACATGTACCCATACACGATAGCAATATAAATCGCAAAAATGATGCAAATCGGGCTCAACACCAGCATCTTCAGCGGCCGCACAATGCTGCGCTTGAAGTAATCCTTTGGGCTCAGCCCGATATCCAGCTTACTCCTCAACAGCTCATTACCCGTCTCCTTCCTCAGCCTGTCGACCCTCCCCTGCAGCAAAATGGGAGCGTACGACTCCCTTCCAAACACGAGCATGCAAAGTGCCACCACGCCCGCCAGGATCGTCAAGATCCAAAAGACCCAGCGCCAGCCCAGACTCGAGTCGCTGATGACGCCACCGATGATGGGCGCGATGATGGGCCCCAGAAGCACGCCCATGGTCATGAGCGCCATGGCGTTCGCCCGCTTCTCCTGCGTGATCATGTCGGAAATCGTCCCGCCGCCGTTGGTAACCGCGCAAGAACCAAAGATGCCCGACAAGAAGCGGAAAGCAATCAGCGCGTTGAAACTCGGCGCCTCGGCACACGCAATGAGAAACGCAATAAAACACACGTTGCACACGTGGTAAACGATCAGCCGTCCATAGATCTCGCTCAGCGGAGCGATCACCAGGGGCCCCGCAGCGAAACCGAGGATGTACACCGATACCACGAAGGAGGCCAGTTCCGGGGAGGAGTTGTGGAATTCTTTCATCACGGCGGGCACGCCGGGGGCAAAGATAGAAGAGGCCAAAGGGGCGATGAAGGTCTGCGCGCTGATGAGACCCACGTTGAGGATCTTTTGCCAGCGCGGCCAGTTGTAGGGGTTCTCGGGGTCGTTTTCGTGCCACCAGACTATGTTGGCGTCGTCTTCCTCTGAAGTGACGACGCCTGAGGTGTCTTGTGGGTTGTGGGAAGAGGAAGATGTGCCAGCTGCTTCCTTCTCTACGTCGTGATCATAGTGGTGATGGTCATGGTGACTGGTATGGCTGGCATGACTCCGTGCCCGGGCGAGAGAGTTACGCCGGATGGCCTCTTTGCGACGCTTCTCGCCTTGTTCGTCTAACACGTAGCCGATGTCGGATGGGATGTCGGCGTCGTGACCTTCGTCGATGGCTTGTTCTATCGATTTTTGTCTTTGGAGGGCGAGCCGTTCTGCTTCTGCTGGCGTGGGGGGACGGTTGTTATTGTGGTGCTCATCTTTGCTGACCGGAGCCGCTTGCCCCTGGAGTTGAGATCCCGTCATGTCGGATGCGAGGTGCTCAGTAAGCGCAGCGCGGGCCGTTCCTTGAGACGGTTGTTAGCCATTGTTATTGGTGAAGTTGGAAGAGATGATATCTGCTCTGTGCTTTCTGCTGGGGAAGGGAGTAGGACCATGCCTTTTCAACGTTTCAGAAGAACCCCGTTGACTTAGACCATGATCGTGATCATACCAGCCAGGGAAGGATGGTGGATCGCGGAGTGAGTGGAGGCCAAGCCTTATTTCCAGCGGGCCTTTTTCTCCCACGTTTTTCGATGAAAATCAGTGGAACCTGCCATGATTTCGGGTTTCAGGGGACTTCGGACGGATATAAAAACAACTCCACACATACCTTGATGGCTTGGTTGGTTGATAACTTGACTTCGAAGACTTCTTTCTGTAGAATGCCGTAAAGACTTGCCAGTGATGGCAATGTTGGCCTGGCACTTGTAAAGGTTGTTATGTTGGGTATAGAACTACAACTTGGAGAAGAAAGTGAAGTAATAATACAGCATGCGCGAAAAAAAAAAAAAAAAGGCCAGTCACAAACAAAGAGCAAAGGGAACACACAGTCGGCAACTCGGCAAGGGGATCAAGAAACTTATTAGAGGAGAAGAAGGATGGAAGATCCAAGGTATGGATGGGTAAACATTTCCTTGACCGCCGCTAAGCTCATTTTGCATAATGTAGGTACACTACAAGATGAGTGAGTGCGAATGGAGCCCTGGAGGGACTGTGATTCCGTGGGGCCGAAAGCAGTCCATTCCTCCATTTCGTCACTCGGTCGCACATCACGAACAACCGAACGCTTGTTCTCCAGGTTCCAGCGTAGCGGGCGGGTGAGAAACGGACAGTCCAGACTGTTCATAGCGTCACTTTAGACTTCTAGGCCGCTCATCGGTCCCCAACAAGTGCGAGGTCAATCATGTTGCATTTCCCGGATAGGAAAGGCGCCAAAGGAGGGCGGCAGGGAAATAGATCGGACGTTGTGAGCTTCGATTGCTGTTGTGCATAAAGTCTGCACAAAACTGTCTTTTCCATGACTGCCCGGAAGAGTACCATACCGGCTAGATGTCGATCCGGGGATAAGGTATAGGTATTGCTCAATTCCGTTCGCAATGATCCAACCACCATCATCACCCAACCCTTCATAACTTCCACAATTGTCAGAAAGCTGAACACCACCACCAGAAAACACTGCTGTACACTATCGTCTATAGGGCGGACAGCGGCACGACGCCGAAACCCCGGCATAACTAACCGTCGTCGGTCGATGAAGCAAAAAAGACAGGCTGTGGACAAGTCAGCCTAGCGAATGAGTGGCTGACAGGCTGGGGTAGGATGGTGTTGACAACCATCATCGGATGCACAAAGCCGCCCGCCGCTGACCCAACGCATTCCCTCACTCTCCCGCACGCCAAACACGGAAGGTGATAGGATACCGGCAAAACAACTTCTTGACAACGGTCCAATCAGCAATGTGAACCAATCTTTGGGAAGGGTGAGGAGAAAAGGTCACAGCGAGCACAGTCTGCGAGAGACTGAAGACACATTCCACGTAAGTACCTAGACACCAGATGCCTCAACCATCGGAATGTGCGCCGTGTGCTCGCAGCTCAGGAATGGAGGTAAAGCTTCTTATCTCCGGGTATAGGTAGGTAAGTAGGAGCACTCCTTGAACCAGGCTCATCGTATAAAAACCAAAATTCCAGGCAAGTCTTCAAGGTAACCTCGCCATTTCCATGCCATTCTGGGTCATCTCGCGCATCAAAGATGAGCCCATGAGCACGTCCTCCCTGAGTTATCCTGACCATTAAGATGTGAACTAGATGTTTTCTTCTTCTTCAAGAACAAGACAAACAATCTGTCGAGAATCATCGCCCACCCACGTACGAGCCCACGGAATTCCCGTCGCCATGGATTTCCAGAAGCCTCGTGTGCGGGTTGTTCCATGTTGCATTTCATGATGCTTTCTCACCCTCACCCATGCTGTACCACCCCGGCATTTCCTTCTAGGGACCATCCTGCCAATATATCTTACGTGCTTGTCATACAAGCTGAAGCCGAACCAACGTACGGCGTATGTCGTTGAAGTTTGGTATTGAGGGTGCATGATAGGTACTACCTACCTGCCTACCTATGGTGCATGCCAAACCGCAGTCAACGAGATGTTGTTTCGCAACGACAGCAAACACTCGACACCGAAGGAGGTCAAAATGAAAACATATGGCTTTTGTTTTACATGGCAAACATTCGCGGAGTTAGCGACATACAATGGGTCATCTCCTCTTATGAGGTTTCACTTCCGCTGTTGGATAACGTCGAGACGAAGCTTCTGAGACGGCGCCTTCCATCTTCAAGTTTCAAAGCTCCATAAACCCTAACCCCGAGCGAGAGCTAGCTTGTTGCATCATGATGATCATGTCCGACCGTCAAAAGGGCTCTCGGGGCTTTATCTTGGAACGATTGTCCTTTGTTAGATGATTGGACAATTCCAAGAGCTCCATTGTAATGATGGGCCATGTGATAGCTTGAAGGTGGCCACCTTGGCGACGGACTGGCGGATCTCTTCTTGGACGATAAACCCTTCAGATTTACCTAGACAAATTAAACTCCTGTTCAATTATTCCTGGCTGTTCGAATCGATCAACTTACCTTTCATCACTTTGTCTGAGGGGAAAACATCACTCAGCCACCGACACAATGGCGCTGTTCACCCAATTCGCAAGTCTCCCTCCTGAACTCCAAGACCTAGTCTGGGACCACGCAGCCGCGCTCTCGCCATGCCTTCACTTCCTCCAGAAGCTCCCAGACACCGACTGGATAGACTGGGACATGCATCTCGTCCCAGACCGACACCAATCCGCCGACCTGAACCTGCGAAATCTTTCACTCACCTGCCACGACGCCCGCTCCGCTGTGATCCGCCACATCCGGGCCATCGAGCATAAGACACTTGTGCCCATGCCTAGATATGGCAGCCCGCCTGCGCCAATGACCAACCTGACCCTCGACCTGGCCACCGACCTCGTCTGCTTCGGAGGAGCGGATGCTGGAGCAAAGGAAACCATGGCGGCGGCGGACTGGGCTGATTTCGAACACATCGTTTTCACGGGCGCCCGCCAGTTCGCGGTCAGGTATTTTCGACCTGGGTGGAACGTGTGGGGGAATTCGGATGACGACGAGGGGGTCGGACTGAGCCTTGAGGAGTTGCAGGCTATGTGGAGGCATGAGTGTAAGCACTGGACACATGTTGGGGTCGCGGGCGGGCCAGAACCTGACGGGCCCGATGGCGATGAGGAATTGAGGAGGAATTTGGAAATCCAGTATCCCGACTCTGACCCGCCGTTTTGCGCGCGGTGCGTGGCCAATCTGATAAGGAGGTTTGAGAAGCTGGAGGAGTTTTGGCTTATTGTTGATCCGGACTTCCTGGACATGGTGGGCGCGGCGGAGGATAGAAAGGGTGATGAAACCAGACTCAAACAGCTTATGGCCGAGGATGGGAAAGGGACTGAAATGCCGGCCACTGAACCAACAAAGCACCGGATTTTTCACTCGTACAGCCGAACATATGTCAGCCTGGACAACCATGGCTCGAGAAGTGAGCTGAGAGGGCCGATGAGGGCTTTGCAGGCCATAAGAGACAACTTGGTTCGTCTGCCATCCCTCGGTCCCCCGTCTGCTTTCAAGTTGATGTGAAGAACAAGCAGCTAACATTTCCTCAGGAAGTAGCATCGATGCTGTCCGCCTCTAGGCCGGAGTGGACGAACAAGGTTCGGTATGGATTGCTGTCGTGGCGAGAGGACCGGAATACAGAGTGAAGAGGATTACTTCCATGCTGCCGGTTGTACCTCGTTGAGATGTCCCGAGGGTATCTTGGCCGCATCGTCGTCGTCAATTTCCTGGAACCGTATATCTCACCCATCTAGAGAAACTCAAAGGGTCGGTCTTTGGAAGTGATGGCATTTCCTGATGTTGGAAATCTCGACTGCCCGCGGCTCCTCGCTGCTTGATGTCATGTCATCGTGAGAAGAACTTGTCGTCACGGTGCATTGCAGCGCATCTCGGCGTTATCTGAGACCCGGTGGAAGTGCGGGACGGACCCGCAAAACTGCTCGGATCAATCGATAATCCATGATTAGACTGGGGGTCGGGTTTTCTGAGGATATCGTGACATATGTTGGTGGCTGTCGGTTGACTGAAATCGAGGAGATTGAGGAGATGAAGAGTTCAAGTCGGGAATGGGGGAGGAGTTCGGGAAGAACATGTGCCGACGGTCTCAGGAGCGTCTCATAACCCTGGCTCTGATCGAAAGCGGGCTAGTGAGGTGCTAACAGTGGCTGACAGGGCTTGCAGGGATCTGATGGCGCTGTCCCTTCCCCCTAACTGGCATGCCCTGACGCCGAAGCGAGAAACATCCGAACCAAAATCCAACCTCATGGAACATCATCTCCTGCATCTTCATCTTCGCCCACCGAGGTCACCATCCGTACAACCTCATATCATCCAATACGAGCGCTTGAATTTTAAGTTTATTCTAAATGCCTGCATGTTGACAGATCTTTGCCACTGGGTGTCCCTACGCTAACAAGAGGAAACACCAGGATCAAGATCCGGACGTTCATCGACCACAAGCTTGCTCTCCGCTGATGATGAAACCTCACTCCTGTCATCGGGAAGATGCCCAGTTTTAAGCCCGGGCGCCAGCTGTTACACCGGCTCACTATCAAGCCTCGGTAAACTTTAAGACAACCTAAGTTTTCCAGGAAGGCTTCTCCTTGAAACTTCCTGAGCTGCTACCTTTCAAGATGGTAAAGGTATGAGGAATGAGCAGTGAGCAATGTCTCGGGGCATGCCATGAACATGGAGGCATCAACACCCGCGTTTCAAGATCTCCAAGATCCGCCAAGTGTCAGGCCCAGACCGCCGGCAATATCTACCAATGTCCAGGTGAATCTCAGCATGGACCCAGAGTCCACCAGGCTGATGAGATGCTGTTCTGTTTACCGCCCATGAAGTTTGGGCAGGGGATTTCCCCTTGCCCAACCACAAACACTTGACACAGGGACAGCAATGCCTTGTCTGAGATGGGACGCCGTCAACAACTCTTCTCGTGGTCTGTTGTGTGCCTGTATGATCGCCATCAAGGGCAACCCATCAGATGGACTTTGACCCTGGATCCAGATCGCCTGGAGGTAGTGTTTGTTTCTATATAACTTGACTGTCCTCTCGTAAACACCACCACCTTCTCTTTTCTCATCATCATTCAGCTTCACTCTCTTCTTTCGGGTCTTCGGTCTCTACAGTTCTGGCAACTATTTCGTTCTTCTCACTCTTTCAGCAATACTACTACTCTTTCACTTGACTTCTATACAACCGCTAGCCGGTCTTTGCTTCCTCCATTTCCAGCACTCTTGCATACTCCAAATTACCTCCAGTTTTACCACCCGTCAGATCAGAAAAGCTCGATCATCATGTACTCCAAGCTCGCCCTTACCGCCCTTCTTCTGGCCACTGCCGAAGCTCGTTTCGGACAAGAGCAGTCTGTTGCCCAGATTATATCCTCTCTGAGCAACTTTGGTAGCCCCGGTGTTGCTCCCACCCTTGCCGGTTCCACTCCCGGTGTCCTTCTCGCCGGTGCCAACGCTTGTGACAAGGTCAGTACATCTAAAACTTGCATATATCGTTCCTCACTAACACCCTCTCTAGCTCACCCTCGCCGACAGAATTGTTTCCGAGCTCGGTAATGACAAGGCCGTCATTGATGCTGCCAAGAAGCTTGTCGCCGCTGAGAAGAACTTCAACCCCTTTGCTGTCTCTATCCCTTCCATCTGCTCCGACCCCGCTCTCCCGGCCACCAAGGAGCTCAGGGGTATTGTTCCCCTTGTTGACCCTGATGTGGCTGGCGCTGATGTTGCGAATGCCGCTTCGGCCAAGTCTCTCACCACTCCGTTCAACGCCGATGGATTAAGTGTTGCGGATATTATGGCTGCCAATGGCTTCACCAACTTCACTGCCCAGAGCGCCAGCGGCTCTACCACCGCGCCTTCTGCTGACAACAACAACAACAACAACAACAACAACAACAACAACAACAACAACAACAACAACAACAACAACAACAACAACAACAACAACAACAACAACAACAACACCATATCAACATGTCAACTTGTCCATATATGTATACAGAACAAGATCAGCCAGTGGTAACCAACAAGAACAACGACGACAACAACAACAACAACACCAAGTCAACCCAATCGTGTACCATATAATGTACAGCAAAACAACAACTCAAGGGTCCGTTGTCCACCTCTCGTGGCGCGGAATCCGGGCCTTAAACTTTGACACTTGAAGCCCGCAGTGGAGTTCGCACCGGGCGTGGAGTTTGTTGTGGAGATGGAGGCCGCTTGAAGGTTCACAAGTGTAACCCAATAACATCAAAAGGTAAACATTGCTCCAAGGAAAGCAAAGGCAGTAATATGGCCACCAGCAAGACCGGCCGTCTGCGGAATCATCCTGGTGTGAAGAACCACACACTGCCAGCCCAGTGATCGCCCCTCGGGCCGTTTAACACAACTCTCAGTCTCACGCGTCGTGGACGCGATCCCAGCATGTTAGCGGCGGCCTGTGGTTGGCCAACCACAAAAACAACCGACCATCCCGGACGCGTCCACTGTTGTCAATTTGTTGTTCGGTTCCCAAAATGGCGACACACAGCGACTTCGCCAAAAAGAACGTCAACGGTCACTCCCACTGTCACCCACTCTCTGTCACCACGATCCAGTGTGTGATGCAAATATGCAGCGCTAAGAAAGTCCCTACTGTAACCTCATGTGGGCACTGCCGCTGGGGACAGGGGATCTCTCTTCCCGATGTCGATTCATCGCTGTCGTCGACTTTTCGACTTTGGTTTTGGTCTTTTCCAACTTGGAGACGCAAATGAGGACGGCCAAAGAGGTGAAGGGCGGAAAGGAAGGGATGGCCAATCTCAGAGGGACCGAGGGAGATGGTGCAGCTGCAGGTCGGCCTTACCAACCCTTCCACTTCTGCCATTTCAACGGCCTGTCAAGAAATCCCGTCATTTCGCTATCGTTGATCAATTGTCTCCTCACAGTCGTGCATGAGATGTTTTGAGGGTATTAGCGGCGTTATGATCGGAAGATGTGGCATCTCATCAACAAGAAAAAACACTCGATGGCTTCAAGTTGTCGATGATGGTGACCGAGGGCGGGCAATCTGAAATGAGATGGTGGGGTTCGAGAACCTGGATGGTTCGTGCGCTGGTGTGCGTACGACCAATGACGCGACGTTTCGCGTTCTGCAACATTGAAAGAACCAAAGTCTCTTGTTCTCTTGATCAGGACATTTCTCGGTCGTATCTTGAGGCTATACTGTAATCATAATCTGTGGTGAGTGAAGCTCATGAGGTGACAGAATTGGCAACCAATTGGACGCTCTAGTTCTCGTTTGGCATTGAATTCGACCCATGATGACGATGACGTTTGGGGTGGCCTGTGCACGATAGCAATCTCAGTTAGAGAGCATGCTAATCTGGTAACGATAAAATCCGTTTCCTAACATCAATATTAGGAGCTCATTGCGGGGTTTAAGCAGAAGGTGGGGTCGTCTTGGGCTTGGAGTTTCTCGTTCGCTCAACCAACTTCCATCTCAACTCTTCTTGGGGCGCAAACAGTTAGACAGTCCATCATTGCACCTTCGTTCTTCAAGCTGCCGGTCAGCGATTGAAAATTTGTCAGATTTTAACAGAGCCTATTTGAGCCAACTCCTGAGCACTGCCAGCTCCTTCCTACTTCTACGTGAGCTTCACAATTGAGCTTCATTGATTGGCTGGATAGCAGCATCGTGGAGCTCATTTGGCTGGCAACATTGGGCATCATCGGTACCACTTCGATGATCTTTGACCTTCTTCTCCTTCTTTTCATTTGGCTTGCAAATTATTCCTGGAGTACATCTTTCAGTAGTTCCCCATCATATCTCGAATCCCCCAAAATGGCATCGACAACATCAGTCAACTTGGTTACCCTGGACAATCTCGACGAGGTCTGGCCTCGTTGGGATCCCGCTGACTCAAATCACCTCTATGCCTTGGTTGATATGGGCAGGTAAGCTACCATCTTTGCACTTGTCTCTTCGTGTTGACGTCTCCTGACCCCCTTGTTTCTTTCAAAGCAATGGCATCCGATTTTCCATCTCCGACCTCTCCCCGCCACAGACTCGGTTGCTCAAGTGTCTTTACCAGGAGCGTGCCGCCATCTCCCTGTTCGACGCCCTGAGCGAGTCTTCAACAGGTGGCCCTTTGCTTTTCCCAGACGAGACCATAAACCTCGTGTCCCAGACACTGGCCCGGTTCAATGACATTGCTGTCGACGAGTACGGCGTGCCTCCCGATCATGTCACCGTCTTTGCTACAGAGGCGATGAGGAAAGCGGACAATGCTGCTGCCATGCTACAGGCTATTGGGACCGAGGTTCCTGGACTTGCCATCAAAATCCTGGACCCCCAGGTCGAGACCCTGTTTGGCTCACTGGGAGCCAGATCTGCCTTTTCTCGTCCCAAGGGTCTCTTCCTTGACCTCGGCGGTGGCAGCGTCCAGATGTCATATCTAGACGCCACGGGTCAGGATGCTGACTATCACATCCATGCAGCACAAGTTGGCAAGAGCTTGCCTTTTGGCGCTGCTCGCCTGATCAAGATCCTTCAACACGACAATGCTGACTTCAAGACTAAGGAGGTTTCGAAGCTCGAGGAAGGCATGAAGCTAGCTTTTGCCAGGCTTTGCGAGACCTATGCTATTCTTGCCACCGAATCCAAGGACACACAAGGCATTGATATCTATCTCTGTGGAGGAGGCTTCCGAGGCTACGGCAGCATGCTAATGCACAACGACCCAATCTCCCCGTACCCGATCCCTGCGATAGGCTCCTACAAAGTCTCGGGCGAATTCTTTGCCAGGACTAACCATATGCTTGAGGTCAACACCAACTTCAAGAACAAGATATTCGGAATGTCCAAGCGCCGCCGAGCCCAGTTTCCTGCCATCGTCACGGTCGTCGAGGCGCTTATTTCGGCCGTCCCGCACATACGATCAGTAACATTCTGCGCCGGTGGAAACAGAGAGGGTGCACTGATGATCAGGCTACCCCAGGAGATTCGCGAGAGCGATCCTTTGGATTGTCTCCAACCGGAGGCATCGCTTCAAGGCATCGTTGATCTACTGTCATCAGCTCTCCCGGCCGACTACAGTAGCCCAAAGACGGTTTTCGGTCTTGGTCTCGGCCGCCTGTTCGCGGGCAAGATTTGGTCCAACACCGGTGATGATGAGCTTGCAAATGCCTCTGCCGCTTTGCACAGTACCATCACGGAACATCCTGATTGTCCTGGTCTGTCACATGCGGCCCGGGCTGTCATGGCTCTGACACTCTGCGCGAGATGGGGCGGCAGCGTCACTCCGGCAGATGAACAGCTGTTGACCAGCTTGAGGGCATTGGCTGATACCGTACACCCTGACGCCGTGTTTTGGGCGGGCTATCTTGGAGCCGTAGCTGCCGCGCTCGCGAAACTGGCACCAACGGTCCAAGATACTCATGAACTTGGAGGCAAGGTTCAGTAAGTTGATGGATTGACCTGACAGCCGTCCGAAAGCACACTAACGAGATTCGTGCCAGACTTCACTCGACTGTGGAACAGCTTGACGACAACAAAGGCTTTCAAGTTCACCTCAACCTCCAGATCAGCGAAACAGCTCTTCGGGGCATAGACACCGGAGACCTGACATCCCACTTCGAAGAAGTCAGCAAGCAGAGGGAGCAAGATTCTGGAAAGAAGATTGTTGTGGACATCATGGGACTACCTTAGCCGCCGACCTGTGGTAGCCGTCACGGCCGCAAAAATATGGAAGAAATCGTCACGAATTCGCAACCTTAAAAATCTATCTTGTTCCTCTTGCCTGCCCTCAGGCATCATGCCAGCACCATACTCCGCATCGACTGAATCCAAAGATCAACTGCCATTACCCACCCCACCGATCAAAGTGGAATACTATGCACATACGCCACGTACCCTCGAAAGCCGCTATCAGTCGATTCTTACGCCCTTCCCCGGCGCGCCGTTAAGAGTTTTGCCTCTCTCTCAATGACGTGTAGCTTGAAGAAGAGGTGCCTTTCATTGGAGGGCTGTCCACGCTTGGGATGGTTGTCCAGATCACGATCTGTCGCCTTGTCAGTTTTGGTTGTTCAACTTCGGTGGACTTTGTCTGTGCTGGCTCACAAAAGGCACAGCGGGATTGCCAAGCTTCCTGAAAGGCGTCGTACACTTCGCTGTTGTTACCGAATACTTCGGAACTGGCGTTTTTGAGGCACTTGACCACCGTCGCTGAGTTTCGAAAAAGTACCGAATAGACGACGACAATGCCATGCATCAAGCGCTCCGTATCCGCTTCAAATGCTCGTCTGTCATTCCCCGTGAGCGTCACTACCAGAAGTCAGTCATTCTGTGGGTAGTTTATCTCAGGCATCCTTGAACTTACTATTAGCGGGGGCCATTCGACGAAGCGACGTCAGTGAATCATGATACACCAGTATCATCAGCCAGAGGGAGCCCCAAAGGGAAACAAACAAGGCTGACTGGAGCAGTGGTTCCTCGTGTTTCTGAATTGTTTGTTTATCCACCAAGTCCTGGATGGCCTTCAGGACCGTTCGTTCGAAAGTCGATATCGCACCGCCAGCACGCAAGCACAAATAAGCTTGCACCGGCATCAACGGAGGAGTGAACGGTGCGTTGTGGTTAAAGAACGGTTGGGTTCCTCCGGTGGCCCAGATTCTCTGCGTAAATGCCATCTTTACCACGTTCGACATCAACGTGTGCACTTGTCTAGCCTTGGGGTGCGCTTCACCCCATGGAAGCCCCTCTTCAGGAGTGTTAGCCAACAATTCGCATCAGAATGTGGGCCCTTCCAGACCTACCAAACTTGTCGGAAAATGCCAATAAAAACTTCTCGAGACGGTCTCGAAAGCTCGTTCCGCCTCTCGCATGGATATCTTCCTCCATCCACTTCAATATGTCCAGATCACCTCGAGTCGGACTTGGATCCGCGTCAACGCGTATCGCTTGGTTGTACATACTACGTGGGCTCCGGCTGGTGAACTCGCGGCCAGTCATTGTGAAATGGGCTCTGTTCGGATCAGGCGACAGCGAGACAGACAGTATGTGCTCACTACTGCCCGGCTGCGCGTAGAAGTCCGTACCCAGCCAGTAACGGTTCTTCACATCAGGGGATGTCCAGCGTTCTGGACCGAAGTCAGTATCAGGCGCACTCGAGGGTGTATTGTCAATACATACCCAAGGTCTTGACAATAGAGGTGAGGGGATCTCGGATGCACATCTGTTGAGCGTATCGACTGCGGATTTTCTTACAGTCATCCTCGCACTTGGTACAGGTACCTGGGCTGCTGCACTGTGTTTCTTTGTTAGCAAAGTCTTGGGACAAAACGACATCAACGGTCTCCTTACTCCGACCTTCTTGAGCTTGCAAGAGGAACATGACTTGAGCTCTCTCACACGGTTGGTGCTTTGAATGTCCTTTACTATGCGGCGCCGCTTACCAGGGCGCGCAGAGTTGCTGATGACGGGCACCTGAAGGAAGGGTGAGCTGCCAGAACTGGCAGGGAGTTGGGAAGAGGTACTATCAGATGTCGTGGTATCGTTTGCATCTTGGATGTCGATGGAGACGTCGTGGTCGAAATCTTCAGACGTTACATATAGCTGAGGGTCCACCGGGAGGCTTCCACCGAGCATTGACAACCTCAACTCATCAGGTTCAGCGGGATGGAGTTCGACAGGCACAGGGTTGTCCAGAGCCTCTGGGATGGCAAGGTCTTGATGTGACCCGATATTCGAGGACTGATCCGAGTATGCTGTTCCGAAGGGTGAATCATCGTACGAGGATCCGGTAACGGTGACGGTGACCGATCCCTCGTCATCGTAAGGAAAAACTTGCCCCCAGTACAGATGGTTGCCATAAATGTCTTCGGCAAAGTCGGCACTGCCGCTGGAGGTAAGCTGGAGAGGACCGTATTCCATGGTGGGCAGCATCGGGGGGCCAGACGGCATGGCGACGTATCCGTCAACTGTGTTTGCTGCACAAGTGTTCGGCTGACTCCAACAAAGCTGCATACACTCTGAGGTAGTGTGTGGCACGAAATGCAAGAAGCGATCCGAAGAAAGAAGACAGTTCGGTCTGACGATATCGAAATGCGGCAAGTGTTCCGAAAACTGACCACAAGCTCTTAATGATTCGGGATGGGGGAAGAAAGAAGAGAAGACGAAGAGAGGAACGAGGGGGTACTCAGAATATCCCAAGAACCTGTGCCCCAAGGCGGCCGTGGCCTTCTTGTCTTAAAGTCAAGTGACTATGGGTAAGAGAAGAGGCCCAAGAGCCTCCTCCCTTTCCTCGCGTCGAACTCTCATTTTGCTGTGTTGCTGCTCCTCGGCGTTCGAGGTCGAAATCCGGTGAAAGCAGGCAGTGTGATTGGTCAATGGGACATTGCTGTCGAGGGCGAGGTACGTATAAGAGTCACACCAACGACCACTGCCAACGACAGCTTGCATGCCGGCTTACGGCGGTACTTACCATCACGGTGTTGGATGGTAGGATAGCGGTTGATGACCGGTATCTTCTTACCGGTATCTTCTGATAACATGGTGGGCAGCCACCCTAACTTCTTGCAATCCCAGGAAAGGGGGCCACCACAACAAGAAGCCTCTCTTTGTTGGGTGTAACGCGCATTCGCACAAAACCGCATCACACTCGTCTACGCATTTGACAATTAACGCAGAGAGCCTCACGGGGTGTCACCAATGTTGCAACTCTATATTGCGTTCCTGCATCCTGCAGTAGCTCCGATTACACGTCAATTGCACCGGGCACAAGTGTGCAAAGGTCCAATCACACATACGCTTAGCACGCATCATTCAGCGGTCGCGCGACACCCCGCCGTGACATCGTCCGGCCCGGCAGGAAATTGGAACGGTCCTCCGGAAATCAACATTAAACCGACTGCTCACCACTCGGCGATCATCTCCAAAATCACGCTTCCGGGTCGGCGTTGAGCTGGAGTTGAACAACCACACCAATCGTCGCTTTTGTTTCCTTCCCAAATGAGCTCATGTTATGGCGCAGCAAAGTCATGGGACTCGCACACTTGCCTCCAGATGGAGCCTGAGAATTGGGGTCTATCTTGGGCGTTGAGCTGGCACATCTTCTGCTTTTCGACGAAGTCGTCTTGGCGTGAAGTTGTCCATGTTCACTACAGGTATCTTTACGCATGGTATCTCTGCCGTCGCTATCGAGTCTGCCGCTCCGCCTCTGTTGTTTCCTACATGATGATCGATATGTCTAAGATGACGCTGTCGCTAGGAGGAAAAAGCAAAGAGGCCATTTGAGCCACGAGCGCAGCCACGATCCAGTTGCTTGGTCTGCTACGGACCTAATGCTGGCACCCGGCTTCCTGTTAGCTTCAGTACTATGCCTCGGGCCTCTATTCCCGCTCAAGGCCATCATCGTCGTACCTAGCTGATGTTCTGTTTTGAAGTTCCGAGCCAAGCTCTTCCTGCAATGTTGCGCCGCCTGGGCGGATACAGAAAGTGTCCTATCCCGCCCCCATTGTTTCTGATCGCCGAGGTCTAGACTTCAGTCGAACACTTACCCATCATACCAGCGTGGAAACATGCAGCAGTCAGTTATTTGGTCGTGATTGTCGCTGTCGTCGGAATTAGAAGCCGCCCAAAGCCCACTGATGACGACGGTGACAGCGGCCTGCATGTCGCCTAACCAGGAACGACTGGAGCAACAGGGATGCTTCTAGGTGCATACCACGGTATATGCACGTCGTTATAGCAGGCATGTCACGGTACTTATGCAACTCAAAGCCACCACCGCCCTCTCCCAACTTGACGACGACATATCAAGTTGCGGTTGTGCTCTCATGCCAAATTCCCACTGACAGACTTACTGGTCCTTGAGTAGCTGAGCCAAACTTCAAATTTTCCGTCTTGGCGCCTGTCGCTAATCTTGATACGGCCGGTTCATTTGGATACACTCTCGGTGCTCGGCCTCAGGAAGCATGGAAATGTCACCTTTGACGTTCCATGACCACAAGGCTTCGGTCCCGGCGCGCTGATCTGCGTAACTGACTAGGGAGGACCGTACCATGTCAACGTTGCTACAAAGGCACAAAATCAGAAGTCACAAAAACCGATCGGATCGTGGGCGGTGCTACCTGTCACTCCTACCGTTATTGACAGGTACCTAGGTTTCCACGGGTGCGAGTGTAGCAGGTGTTTTTGACAGTCACGCGCCGTCGCGTCATGCATTCATGAACTCATGATGTTAACGGATGTCGATCGGCCTCGTCGATAAGGCCCGCTTCATTGAGCCTCTAAACCGGGCCTCTGAACGGATCTCGGAGCCTGATGGCCTTACGTGCGTCTCGAGTTATTCGAGTGATTTGCGCTGAAAGTGAGGCTCAAAATAGCGGTCTGATATGCTGTTTTTGACACTTTCATGAGTGTCGTGACAAAGCAAGCTTAGCAAAAAATTTCCGGTGTTGGTGTTGAGCATGTAAGTCTGTCTAACCGATTGGATTATTTGGGGCAAGAGACCCATTGGGAGATTCTCGGGCCGGCCGGTCTGCGGCCGTGCAAAGGGCGGGTGGGACCACCGCTGAAAGGGTAAGGGAAATGAAATGAAAGGAAAAGAAATGGGAAAATGCGGCAGTGATGATGATGCAGAAAGGCAGGAAAGGCTAAAGTGAACCAAAGGATGCTAACGAGGCCGGAAGGTTTCCTTCTTTTTTCCAAGTTCATGATGGCTTCACCCTACCAGGCCGTGCTGTTTGGCTTGCTGGGTTTGCCAAAAAGCTGCGCTTTCAATTATGATTGGGCGGAGCTAGGCAATAGTAGGCGCATGCCTCACTTGTAATGTAAGTGGACAATTTGGGGACCGTTTTCTTCATGTTGCACTACTATCATCCGGGTACTTGACCAACGAACACTCGTTCATCGTTCCCCCAATCACTCTCATTCACCACTCTTAAGACTTTGTTCCTATTCGCTACCTGCTATTTGCTAATCGAGACCGCTTGTCAACCGTCTCTACCGCAGTATATCGTTGATGTTTGGATATAAGTCGTCCACACCACACCATGTCGGAATGCATACCAAAGCACACATTTGGCATCTCCACTTTCCGCTTTTTACTCCTGGCGTGGAAGGTGATCAGATCTAATGCTGTAAATCTCTGATACGGGCAAGACACAGCGATGACCATGACGACGAGAAGCAGAGTTCGAAACGCGCTAGGCATACGGCATCTCCGTCCACCAACAACCTGCTGAAAGGTGCGCGAAAGCAAAAGAATCTTTGCATTTCAGCTCAGAAGCAACAGGAGGACGGCCCCCAAACGTCTACGCCCCGTACCCTTCTTTTCCCAAAGAGGCACACCGTCCATCGCATCGCCTTCTCTTTCTAACCTCGACGTCCACACTCGAAATGTTGGAGTGAACACCCGGGATGCCGGCTTCAGGTTTGGGGGCTGTTGTAACCCACACTCTTTTTCATGCTGTCATCCCGCATGTTTCGAAACGCTCTCTTTCCCAAACGTCTCTGGGTCGTTGATCATCACAACAAACTTCTATGCCAGACAGGCTGCAGTGGACGAAGGTAGACATCGGATGCCTCACGACACTTTGTCCTGTCACTCAACGTTACCCCTTTCTCTCTTGGCGATGGACCACGTCCTTTGCACATCCTGCCTTGCAAGGGGCTGTAGGTTGTCGAGGCTGAGGCAGCAACGGGGAGCAGGCGCAGATTGGACGCATCCATCGACAATCTCTGCCTCCGGATCAGATGTCTGGCCTATCGCCCGTTTCTCACCAACGTTGCTCCTCTCTCCTTCCTGCTTTGGAATCATGGCTTCCCAAGCTTGACTTCCGGCCGTGGTGCAAATGCCTACACACCGCCAGTTTCATCCAGTCGACTCGGCTTTGGTGTCTCTCAACGGCACAGCAACTGAACATCCAGCCTTGGCCGTACATCAGGCTGGAAGTTGATGATGTCCTGTTGTTGGCTACCTCCTATCTAGCTGCCCAACACTCACCTCCTTTACCTTTCTGTGTCTTTGTGTCTCAGAGTCACGTCGCCACCTCCCTTCCCGACGCGCGGTTCTCGACCGCGTTGCCAACATCTCATAAACCCACTTTCGAATTCGAGCACACGACAGCCTAGAGGTACCCACCTACAACTATGTACCTACATTACGTACCTAGGAGCTATCGGTGGCAAAGCAGGAGGCGGTTTTTGTACCCTGAGTTCACAACCAGCAGCACACCTAGAGACAGCAAGGCGGAACAAGTTTGTTTACTACCTTCGGACCAGTCGATCCACCAGTGCACTCCAAGCCTCAACCTTCCAAAGCCCTGCCTGGTTCCTAGTCCCGGCGGGGAAGAAAGAGGTCCGTCATCCCATCCTTCTTCATCATGGTGGTGGTGGTGGCGGGAGCGGACGCGGCATTGCAGCCTTCCGGACTTTCCCTTTTCTGTCTTGGGCCTCAACAAACTTCCACGCTAACCAGACCGGCGAGCGTTTCATGAGAGACAAAGATACCTCATACCTCAACAAATCGTTAATACCACATTGAGCCTAACATCCGAGCAAGTTCGGGGTTTATTCTGGCAAACCTCGAGGTGTTGACGGCACAGCAAGTTGAGCATCCCTACCCCTACCACTGCATGTACACCATTGACTTGCTGAGCGAAGGATTCTGGTGGTTGCCTCACAATCGACTCTCAACTCCTCATGAGCTTCACTCCCTACGTACATGACCTCCGGATCTAAACTTGCGCCTTCCCAACAAATCTTCGGGAGTCACAGCGCTGTTCGACTGCTCGGACTGTCCGGTCTTTTTGAGCCTTTCGCCTTATCAAGCCAGTCCGTCGCCCAGCTCATCAACGTCGTCGCCACGCATCATTACTTTGTACCTAAACAACATGACGCTCACTCACAGACACACCGCCCCTTTCCTCCCTGGCTCTCCGTACCTCTAGTCAAGGTACACAGTGACTAGATGAAGCAGTGAGTCCCCACCCCAACTAGCCCGACAAAAGACTACATGTACCTGTAGTACCAGTCGCCTTACGAGGCGCTTGTGAATCCACAATTCACAAGGGGGCTTGAAGCTAAGCAGCCCTACCTTGGATGATCTGGAAACGAAACAAGTGGAAAGGACGGATAAAGAATTTCTACAGGAGACCAACATGTCGCCCTTACAAAACGGGTGAACTTGAAGGAAGGAGGATTTATCCTGAGCAGCGGGATCTCCGCGTCCTGGACTAGTGAGAACTGAGAAAAAATGCAAAAGGAGACAGACAGATATGGACAGACAGACAGACAGACAGGCTGGGACGGGGAGGCAGGAGAGGAGACGGAGAGAGAGTCCTGTCCTGCAAGCCACCTCTAGAGGTACCTCTTCCTCAGGGGGTGGACTTCTTCCATGCCGAAAGCCCGCACATGGGGCTCAACTCGCCTCGGTGTTTAGGTTCCTTTGTTTTTTTTTTGTTTTTTTTTGGTTGTTTTTTTTTTGTTTTTTTTTTACCAAGCACCACCTAAGGTACCTACTTATTCAAGCTGCTGCCACTGACTAACTGGCTTTGATTCTCTCGAGCAGCCACGCATTACGCTTTGCCTTGGTCGTCAGTGTCTGCACCCTTGTCGGTTCGCCTTGGCCGCCTTGCCATGTTGCCTCCAGTGCGGTGAGATCACTCAGCCATACTGTATCTGGTTTCCTTCAAGAAAGGAAGTTGAGGGTTATTCCTCTACGATTCCGATTACTTGGATTTGAATGAATGCCTACTTTCCTATACTTATGTAGCCTTGTTTTGCTGTTTTTATTCCTTCTCGGGGAAAAATCGTCGAGTGTCCGGCTAGCATCCAGCAGGAAACAGACGCAGCGAAGCAGCGACCAAGAGCATCATATCCACTTCGCACTTTTGCTAATATTTTGCTTACTGATACCTACATGTTTAATCACCGGATGATTTTGCACGCCGCTTTCACTGGATAACAACTCCATTCCATTAACATCATCTACTATTACACCCCAGACTAAAGGGCTATTATCATCCCCACGTCCGCATTCTAACCTTCTAACAAAAAGAATACAACCTCCCTCCATCGCCAGCGATACATAACAAGTACAAGTCCCCTAAGAAAAACACACACATCAAACAACATCAAACCCACCCTCCGCCTCTCCCCAAACCGGTAACTCCTCCTCAACCCTCGCGGCCCTAACCATCGAGCTAACCACATGAATCCCCAACCCTTCCACATAACTCCCATGCATCACCACCTTTCCGTCCACCTTGATGATATTCACCACCAAGTTCCTCCTTAGGAACGGTTCAACATCTTTGGGATCCAGACTTCTCAACACTTCCTCCTGCTGCCCTTCCCACCCCTCCTTTTCGTCATCTCCATATCTATCTCCTTCACCACTGAAACCGGCCCCGACGTCTCCCCCAAAGCCCACAAAACGACCACCAACAGTTCTACTTCCACCACCACCTCCCCCGGTACCGGTCGCGACACCAAACCTCCCGGTCCCCATCACCTTCTCCACCAACGCCTTAGTCAAGGGCACAGTCCCCGACACCATAACCTCATCCATCCCCGCCATCTTACTCTCTCCATACCGTTCATCCGACGCAAAGACCCCCATCGACCCAACATGATTCTTCGCCGACGCCCATTCCTTAGGGTCCTTCGGTGCTTCCCCAAGAAACAAATGAATGAAGAACGGTCCATCCAAGGCTTGTTTCTTCACCCTCACATTCGCTATCCACTCTCTGTATTGTCCGTTACCGGTAAAGACCCTTCCAGCAGGTAAATTACCGGGGACCTTCTTCCCTGGCCCCAGTCTTCCGGCTCGCAGTTCCTTGCGGTAGAGACTCGATGGAGTAGATGGACCGTAGAGGCGGTTGATGGCTGCCATCACCCTCCCCCTTGCCCGCCTGGACAGTGCTCGGCTCTGGCTGTTCGGTACACTACCCGACACTCCGGCCAGCTCGGGGTAGTTGTATCCAAACCTCGTATGATCACGGACCATGTCCGACGTCCAAAACGTGCCGTTCTCGTTGAAGAAGAAGGGCGTCAAAGGGGTGGCGGCGGTTTGAAACTCTCCTCGAGACGTGGTGTAGGATGCGATGTAGGCTTGCATTGGGGTGACATAGCTGGATGGGTACAAGGATTGCCAAATGGCAAAAATGCGGTCGACCATGGTATGATGAAGGAAAAATATGGGGTCGAAAGAGGAATAGGGGATGTAGGCCATGTGGCCGCCTTGAGCATTGGGTTGGCCTATTCCACCGCCACCAGCTAAGTTGTGTACAGTGTCGTGGAGGGCTTCGAGAGAGTCGTAGGAGCCGTTATTGATGTAGGGTATCCAGGCGTTGTTGCTAAAGGTGCTGTAGTTGCCATAGTTGGAGAAAAGGATGTAGAGACGTTGGCCGAGTGAGTCGAGGTTTTGGTCAAAGTTGATGGCCACGAGGGAGTTGTTGGACTGCGCCTTGTTATCGCTGGTAGTCGGGCTTCTGAGAGTGTTTGTCCATATATCCCACTGTCGCACACCAATGTCAGCAAAGGTCAAGTTGCCAAGGGGGACATGCACTCACCGGGTCCTGAAGAAAGGCAGTAGCATTCAGCGGCTTGAAGGAGTAACTGAACAAGGGGTTGGCAATTCTCTGCACGCCACTGGGGCCATTGGCATCAACGTACGGGCTCCCACCAACACTAAGAGGCAGAACGCTCTGTCCAGAAGGCGGGCTGGAAGCCCAATCCCAGTAGGGTATGCGGAACCGGAGCGCAGCTGCCTGGTATCGTTTTCGCGGTTCGCCTTCAGGCCACCATTTAGCAATGTTCTGAATCAGGTTGTAAAGTACTTGCTATGACGAGTTTTAGGTCAGCAGTCGTCATGATGTCAGAAACAAAGAGACACATACCTCGTAGAGGACAAGATAAGGGCGATGCCATGTCGGGAAGAGGATCGAGGAGTGAGTACAATATCCTGTTTCCTCATTTCCGGGAGTTGGAGTCACACCGCCCCAGGTTTGGTGAGGTATGCCGTGTATCCCTGTGTGGTTGACGTTGCCTCGTTAGCATATGACAGAAAGCACATGTGTAGCGTGTCAGATGTAGACAGAAGAGAAGAACGGTATGGACAGAGGGGGGAACCTCAAGTGTAACATAAGTACCAGTAATCCCGTACCACGACACCGGCGATGACTGGTCGGTGAACTGCATCAGACTGAGCCCCAGGATGTAGAGCGTCCATAGCTCCTTGTCCTGCTCGAGCTGACGGACTTCTTGTCGCAGTCGAATTGTCTGCCCGCCCTCTGCACCCCTTACTACCGGTACCGGTTCTTGCGACGCTAGCTGGCGTTTTATGAGCTTTGCTGCGTCAAAGCCGTAGTCGTAGGCGCCATACTGTGCGAGAACAGAGTGCGCGGCGAGTAGGGCGAGGGATAGAAGAGCGATTGGCGACCGAAAGCGTGCCATTGGCGTTGTCGCAGTGGGGAAGTAGTGTTCAATCTCGTTTGTCGCAATAATTGAGACGCGCAGACTTTGCTCGGAGAAGAGCCGGTGAAGCGTGCGAAAGGCTGATGACCAGAACGAGATTGGTCGAGAATAAGATGTGGATGAGGTAACGCACGTTGCGGGTAGATGGGAGAGACCGGAGGAGAATGGGATGTAACCAAGCCGGTAATGAGCTGCTGCTACAATTAGTTCGACTGTTGAAGTAATCGTTGATGAAGTCGAGCTAGAAAGGAGTGGTTGATGATGGTCGGTCTGTCGTGAGTATGGGCAAAATTGGATGTGTCGTGTGGCTCAAGTATGCTGATTAGGAGAAGTTGGCGCGAGATAGATTAGAAGAAGAGAGAAAAAAAAAGAAGAGAGAAGAATCCTAGAAGAAAGGAAGCAGCAGCAGCAGCATATGAATTTTGAAGGAGTACGACGGAAAACGAGTGACCTGGTTGAGTGATTGATTGCTGTTCCGGTTCACGGTGGACAGTGGCTTTTTCTGATGTCAAGCATGCCCTGACTACCGGTAAGTAAGTGAAAGACAAAGCACAGTATTATGAGTGGTAGCAGGCAGACAAGGTACTCGACCCAAAACACCAACACGGACAAGACGAAGTGAGGCAGATGACTTGCGATGGCCAAGTAGTCAGAAATTGAAGACGGATGTCAGAGAGAAAAGTCTGAAACTGCCCGTGGAGTCGAATGGAAAGCAAGCCAAGTGCCGTGGAGCCGAGCCGAGCGTGATAGTCACGGCAGTGACGGTAAGGAAGGAAAGGACGAACGGACGAGAACTTCCGCAGGGAGAGCAAACTCACTGAGAGGAAGGTACAGAATTTTCACACTGGTTGACACAAGGAAGGAAGGAAGGAAGGAAGGAAGGTACAGATGGCGGATGCCGTGGTCGGAAGTCGGAAGTCGGGCATCAGAGAGGGAAAGTGAAACCCGACATCGGTAGGTAACTGAAATTGCTCCTTCCTGGATGGGCGTGTTGCGTCCATGTGAGTGAGTGAGTGTCAGGTCACTACCGTAGCAGGCACTGACTGGCGGTAACTATCCGTATCAGTGTTGTATCTATTTCAAACGTTTATGGGATTTATGATCGAGTGTCTCACCTGAAGATGGTAACGAAAGTATTCCGATTGAAAATACCAGCCAGTTCCGAATGGCTTTAGAAGAATACTGACTTCTTCGCTCGAGGACAACACTCCATTCTGCTGCCAATCCCATTCCATCCTTTAGACCAGATGCACCACCGTTGAATGGCACGCATCAATGGGGGTCACGGCAGCTATCCGATCGTGTTAAACACAATCTTGGGTCCTGGTGTGTCCTGGTGTCGTCTCCCGCCCCCTTGTGTTCAGGTACATTTCCTCCTGTGTCACCTACCGTCGAGTGTCAAGTTTGCATTTGTCAGCCAACCATTGTCCATCCCCCCAAAAAAGAATAATGGCCTGTTGATGATGGGATTCGGCTCACTTTGCGATCACAGTCAAGTCAAACATACTTGAATGTCCAACCACATGCCAGCGGTGTTCATAGTAGCACGATATAACGGAATAAGAAACAAGCCGATCCAACCGGAGCATGAGAGAAATATGAGAAGAAAACATTGCAATTACACGTACCCTGACAAACTTGACTCCCATGACTGATGCTGCTAACTTAAAACAGATGAAAACGAATGAACCCTTACACGTAAAAAACTTTTCTGTAACCTTTAAACCAAATCATACCCATCCATCCATGTACATTTGACTCAACCCCTCTTCCTTGAGCTTAAGCAGAAGCAGTAGCAGTCAACATCAACTCGCCCGCCTTCTTCCCCACCAGTTGTCCCCTCCTGATCTCATCCTTCTTATCCACCTTATACTTCAACTTGATGCCCATAGCCGCCAGCTCGACATCCAAGTATTTGAGCGCACCGGGCACCGCCACGACGGTAGTGTTCTCACCACCGACCCACTGCGTGCCGCTGCCATCTTCCCAAATCTCTCCGTCCAACTGCATGAGATCCACATCCTCCATATCATCCAGCCTGGTCGCGCAGTTTCTGCATCTAACAGTGCTGACGGCCTTGCGCTTGCCGATGAACGGCGACACGGTGGGTTGCGTGGACAGGAAGGAGCCGCACTGGCGACACATCCAGCTCTTGGAGTAATCGGAGCAGTTGAGCAGACGGTCCTGAAGGAGGAAGGAAGTACCGTGGGCAAGAAGAGCGTCGCGCTCCATTTCACCAACACGGATACCACCACCCTTCTTACGACCCTTGATGGGCTGGCCAGTCGTCGGCACGACGGGACCCGTGGTACGCACTTGGTACTTGTCGTTAACCATGTGACGCAGACGCTGGTAGTAGACGACACCGATGTAGATGTCCGCTTGGAACTCCTCGCCAGTAATGCCCGAGTAGAGGGGCTCGTTGCCGTGGTAGTTGTAGCCGGCCTTCATAAGCTGGTGGCCAAAGTAATCGCCGGCCCTGTTTTGCTCGTCAAACTTGAAGGGGGTAGAGTCCTGCGCGAGACCGTGCAGGGCGCCGGCCTTGCCGGCTAGCGACTCGACGAACATGCCGATGGTCATGCGCGACGGGAAAGCGTGGGGGTTGATGATGACGTCGGGCTGGATGCCGGTTTCCGAGAAGGGCATGTCGGTGGCGGGCCACTTTTGCGAGCACACACCCTTTTGACCGTGACGAGACGAGAACTTGTCACCGATGACGGGGGAACGGGGAATGCGCAGCTTGATGGAGACGGTCTGAAGGGGCTCGGTGCCGTTGTCGGCGCCGATGACGCGGACTTCCTCCACGAAGGCGTCTTCCGAGTCCTTGTACCGCTCGTAGTGGGTGATGCCGTCGCGGTTGACGAGCTGGCCGTTGTAGTCGGCAGAGACGGTGTGCCACGCGCAGAGGACGTCGCCCTCACGGAGCAGACGGCCGACGCGAGGGAGACCGTCGTTGTCGAGGGTGTCGCGGGTGGACTCGCGGATGGTGCTGTTGGGGGCAAAGCCGAACATCTTGACGATGCTCTTGGCCGAGCGTGTCCTGCTGTCATCCTTGAGACTGACCTTCTTGGTCTTGTAGATGCTACCGTGACCGAATCCTCTCTCGTGTGCCGACTTGTTGATAATCATGGCGTCGTCCATGTCGTAACCGGTGTACGAAATGACAGCGACGACGGCGTTGGTGCCGTTGGGGAAGTTGTCGAACCCGTAGGTGTTGTGCAGAGGCGCGCGGACAATAGGTGTCTGGCCCGTCTGGAGACGGTACATCTTGTTGTCCGTACGGCGGCTGAGAGCTGTTCCTGGTGTACCCATAGTTTGCTTACCCATCTGACACTGGTACATGTTACGGGGAGACTGGTTGAAGTCGGAGAAGGGGGTCATGTTGGCGAGGATGGAGAGGATGTTAGTAGGATCGAACTCCACGTGCGTCGAATCTCCGGGGATGACCTCCTGCTCCGTGCAGGCAATCGACATGTAAGGCTGCTCCTGAGGACCGACAAAGTCCTCCTTCGCTAGAGGGAGGTACTTGACGGGGCGGACCATACGAGCGGGCTGGGACGACATGTAGAGACCGGGGTAAGAACCGCCGTTGGAAGGAGGAACGTAGCCAATCTCGAGCTGAAGAGGCACGCCGTTCTCGCCGTTGACTTTCCAGTAACGGAGAGTCTCGGCAATAGACTTGCACTCGTCAGGGGTACACCAGCCGACGATCCTGCCGTCGAGCATGACGACCACACTTTCGCTGGTGGCAGCCGAGGAGATGTTGACAACGCCGAGCTCGAAAGCCAGACGAGGGATGGTAGAGGCGTCTACATGGTCCGTCATGATCTTGCACTTGTGGGCCAAATGGTTGAGAAGACCGCAGGGAGAACCATCGGGAGTGTGGACAGGGCAGAGGAAACCCCACGATTCGGGCAAAAGCTTGCGGACCGTTGTCGTCTTGAGCTGGGCGAAGAAGGAACCACGATGCACCATGCGGAAGTGACTGATGAAACGCAAGAAGTTGAGCTTCTCGGCAACGACGGTGAAGCCAGAAACCTGCTGCAAATCGAGACCGGAGGGAGAGACCAGGTTGCCGGTAGACAAGAAGTACTCGAGCGATTGACCAATGTTTTCGTTGGCCCTGCGGAAAATGGCGATAGGGAAGTCCTTGGTGAAAGTTTCGGACTGGAATGATACCGTAGGGTTTCTCCTGAGGTAGTCGCGAAGGGAGGCGCGGAAGGAAACGGTCAACAGCTCCTCGAGCCTCTCCTTAATGATCTGGCCGTAGAGGAAGCCACCGAGAAGAATCTCCTGGTTCTGGACGGCATCGGGGTTGTCGACAGCGCAGTCACCGGCGACGAGAGCGTACAGCTTGCGGCACATGAAGAGCAGCATGTTGAACTTGTCAGCATCCTGTTGCTCGGTGACGTCCTGGCAGCCGAGATGGACGAGGACAATCTTGCGGAGGAACTCTGTGCCGACCTCGTAGTCGGACATGGTGTCGGCGACGCCGAGAACGACGCGGAACTTTTGGCCGAGGTACGCGCGAGTCTGGGTCTTGCTGTAAAGGCCGTATTTCTTGTAGGTGCGGAGGAGGAGTTCGACGCGATCGGTCAAGAAGGTGTTGGCGACGCCCTTGGACTGGGGTGGGCCGACGAGACCCTCGAAGATTTCCCGATCATTTGTCTCAACGAGAGCCTTCATGATCATCATGACGGGAATGAGGTACTCGTTCTTTCTCCACGAAAAGCGGAAGGTGACATTGCCGTCGGAAAGGTAGTGGAGGACGTTGGTCTGGGAGGTCTCGTCGGGGCGAACGGATCGCATTATGATACCGTACGGGGTGTAGGTGGCGCCTCTGTTCTGGAAACTGGGACGGACGATGGCGAGCGGAAAGTTTCTGCGGTTCATGAGGAGCATGCGGATGAGCTTTTCGATACCGTTGACGACGAAGTAGCCGCCCAACTCTTCGGACTCTTCACCTCTTGCCACGAGCTGGGCAGGGGAGTTGTTTTGGAGGTGGCACTTGTTGGACTGTCATGACCATAGTTAGACATGGTGACTTGCTAATATCTCCGCCTTCAAGTTCCTTCAAGGCTTTTTCTTCTTACCTTGACCATGATGGGCATCTGGCCGAGCTCGCGCACAAACTCGTGAGGCTCGCCATCGTTGATGCGATACTCGAAAGTGGCGGACAGCTTGCCCCTGTATGAGACATGTCGTTCTCTGCACTCGGCCGGGAAGATTTCGCGATTCTTGGCCCAGCGGTTGGTGGGCGGGACCTGAGACTTTTGCAGCTCGATGCTCTTGTAGCGGATGGTGAGCTTGTTCTTGCCGGCGGGGTCAGCGCGCTCGTCGCCGTCTAGGAATGTCTTGGTGCCAATCTCGGCCAGGGCGTGGTCGAGAAGGGAGGGTTTGCCATCGTCGCGGAAGAGGGCGTTGAAGGACTCGATGTGGGGGTCGACGGCGGCCTGGAGGGCGGGATAGGCGGTGCGGTCGGTCGGGGGGTCTCGGAAGAGCTTCTCGCGGCGGACCTGGTTGAACTGGACGTCCCAGTCCTGGCTGGTGGGAGCCTGTTGTTGCTGGGGAGCCATTGTGGCTGTGTGTGGTGTGGTGTGGTGTGTTTAAAGTAAAGGAGGACTCGGTCCTATCCTTGGGTATCTCGGGATATGTGGGTTGGTGTTTTCAAGGTGGATATAATAACAGAATAAGGCAAGGTATGTTTTGCTTTCTAAGCAGTTAAAGTGCCCTTCTGAAGCCGACAATAAAGTGCTCCTTGGGATTATTCCTTCATAATCTGCCGGCTGGGTATTTGGGAGGTGGTTGACGGAGATATGCGCCGGGGCATTGATCTCTCTAGACTGTTTGTCGACTCTGGACTGCTTCCCGTCAGTCGTGGTCGTGGTCGCGGTCTCACAAAGTCGGAGGCGTTTGGCGGGCACCTTCAACTTTTCGAGCGCGTAACAACTGAATGCGCCCACCAGCGCTGAGTGCATGATTTTTTTCTCGAATTGTTAGAGCTTATCGCTTATCGGACAGCTGCCCCACAGTTAGGTTGATTTTGTCTTGGATGGCGCTAAGCCGGAGGAGGAAGTGACCAGCAGGGTTCTGATGGCCAGTGAGGTGCTCAGTGCCTGCAGAGTGCCAAGCAGTGGAGTGAGAAGAGTGCTCACGGACCACCCACAGACCGAATGGCTGTGAATGGCACGAATCGATGGTTGGGTTCTGATGGTGTTGTGCGAGGAGAGGCCACACAAAGCACAAGATGTGGATGATGATGATGGTACAGGATCATTTCAAGTGGCACTTTTGTCAACGGGCACGCAGTGCAACCTCAAAATGTTCCATCCCGGACATGTCAAGATTATCATTGTGCACGGCAGGTGGTTCACATTGTTGATATCTGACAAGAACCCTTTGATGCCATTTTGAAAAGAGACCTGGGGTGTCACTGAAAAGAGAGTGGAAGAGTCGAGAAAGAAAGTCTTGTCAATGTTTTCTTCAAATTGTTGCTGGTCTCTCTCAACGGCCCAATGTTTGCTTTCCTGGTCGAATCCCGTCGTTCCCGTCGCTCAATTGCAGTAGACTGCATTCCCCGAGTGGCCATATGGCGGCCGTTTAGCGAGGCCTAGTAACCTCATGGCTTTTCCGCTCACTCAGTTCCCGCCTCTCCTCCAACCTCTTCCCAGTTCGTCCTTCTCCCGGCCGAATGAGAAGTCGACTTTTGGACACTTTGAGTCGTTTCGGTAATTATCGTCAGCAAAAAAGCTGCTCATGGCCCGAACTGGGTGACCACTCTGGCCGGCCCTATCGCGGTCTGTGTCAGTTTGAAAAGGGAGTGGCCGTCGTCCATTCAAGTCAGTCAAACCAACGGCAATCTCAAACCCTTCTCATCCAATTGTCAAGGCCGCAAAGAAGGTCAACACCAGTGGTCGTTGAGGTGGATCAAATGTCATCACTCATCTTCGTTCGTTCGTTCAATCCGTCCGCGTCCTGCATTGTGCATTTCCTCCCTTCTGCAAAATCCATGCAGCTGCCTGCACTCATGCATTGCACTCCCTCGTCGTCCCCGCTCCGTCAGACGGGATGGTCGTCTAATCAATCATCGGCAATGTTGATGGTCGAACATGACTGGAGGGTTGTGGCATTGGTTGATGAACTGGGAGAGAGCCTCGGGCTGTGCCTAGTGGTGGTAGTGGTGGTTGTCAGCATCTCTGCAGTGAAAAAAGTATCGCGGACGGGAGCTTCATTCCATCCACTCACCACTCACCATAAGTACAAGACATGCATGGGTTCTTCTTAAGCCCGAGGCAAAGTGGCCCTTGTTCTGTGCCTGTCTCTTGCCTCCAAAACAACACGAGCTGCTCGGGTTTCACAATGGCCTTATTGAACGGGAAGCAGTTCGAGTCCATGATGGCACTGCAGGAGTGCACAGCAGGAGAATCTTCCTTACCATTATTGAGGCGCGCTTTAGTTGTGATGATTGAGAATGACTGAGGCCTGTCCTGGTCCTTGACTCCGTCCGCTTGATGGTGATGAAGTTGAGAGAGAAGGATCCATCCATTCACATTGGCCTTGAAGCGTGGGGAAACCTGGAAGCTCAACGAACCAATCAGAGAGGATGCAACTACCCCGCTGTTGCATCTGTTGGTGGCCTCTACAACCGATTACACCTTCTTGTTCCATTCAGGTCCCTCTGTTCTGAAGACGGAGTCCAGTCGCTGCTACATTGCCTGCTTGCTCTACAATGACCAAGTCTTCAGAGTCTTTATTTTTCCCAAACTTGACGTTGACATCTTGGCCTCATATCATTTGCCCGTGTTACAAGTCAGTATCCTAACTCACTCACTCAACCCTACCAGCCAGTAGCACACGCATATCCGGCAAGCGGAGGGTCTTTTTAGTCACACTCTCCTCGTCCAGCGTCAAGGAGACACAAACGACGGTTCTCCAAGGATTACACAGCTTTTGGAGAAAAAAAGAGAAAAGGGACTGGAGCAAGGACCAGATCCATCCGGCTACCGAAGCCCTGATCTGATTGTCACTGACGAGCAACAGTTGCCGGTCCTTGTGATTGACAGACGGACCCACGGACGAACCAGTCACCGCAGACGTCCAAGAGAATCCAGATCGGATCGGCCTGGAACATACCGTCTCGTCTGCCTGCGTCTATCCAACGAACAGTTACCCGGGGGCAACTTTACAAGACTTCCATTCCCGTTGATTGCGCACAAAAGCAGCACTCATCAAGCAGAAGCAACAGTCCCTGCAGCAAGCAGCAGCAGCATCTGCCATCGGCCATCTGCCATCCATCCCATCTCATCCCAGCATCAGACAGCATTTGATCCCACAGTGGCAGCAGCCTCAAGGCACGAACTTCGATCCAACTCTATACACACCTTTCCCATCTGCCATCTGGCCGCCATCCTACCTCAAAACCAAGGCCGA